GGGGGGGGGGGGGGTGAAAATCATCCTTAATGTAGTCTCACGTTCACCCTCGCGTTCGATGCGTTTTGAAAATCCTCCTTTCAATATTTTCGTGATCACGTACTTGAGGCCGGTGGCAGCGTTGTTGATATGTACGTGGGTGATTTTGTTTTTTTCGTTTTTTTCGTGCCTGTCCCTCACGCATCGACCGCAACCTCTGGAACCACCCCTACCTCTTCCCTTGTCCGCGGTGCCCCAGGGCCCTGCTGATCCCCACCGTGGGAGGCATGTTCCTGTTCGTGGACCAGATGCGGACAGGCTCGCCGGACAGCCAGCTCCTGCCGATCTTCTGCGTCCTCATCATGGTGTGGGTGGCCCTGTTCCTCGACGTCTGGAGGCGGCGCAACAACGAGATAGCCTTCCGGTGGGGGGTGGACGGGGTGGAGGACGAGGAGCTCATGCGGGTCCAGGCCGCCAAGGTGCGAGAGCTGCTGCGCCGCGGCGGCGGCGGCGGTGCCTGGGAGCCGTCTTTCGTGAATTGGTGGACTTGTCGGGGGGGAGAGGGGGGGCGTACTTGTGTTTTGCATGCCCCAGCTGCTAGACCGTTGACCGCGAGTCCTCGAGAGGACGGAGCATTGTCGAGGGAGCTTAGGTGTGTACAGCGTGATGATAAGACCGGTGTGAAGCAAGGGGGCGTTTTGTGTTTTGTATGTGTACCTATTGGCGCCCACAGTTCTTCAAGGTACTGCAGGTACTGCAGGATCTCCGTCCGAATATACAAGTGCACAAGTCGCGGCACAAGGACTTAAGAGCTACAGGGACCCCCCGTGCCGGGATGTTTTTTGTCGCTGTGCAGGGTGGCGATAGATTGCCAGGCTAGCTCTTTCATGAGTTCTTGTTGCGTAAATGATCCATGGGGAAGGGGATTGGGGAAAAGTGACGGGCGCCAACGTGGGTTTTTGTCGTAGCTGGCACGTCGCTGCGTTGAACTGCTGTTTTGGTAGACGTTTTTTTATTGTCGTGTGCCTTGCTGCTGCTGCTGCTGCTGCTGCCTGTTGCTGTGGGTGCGACTCTCTGGGTGAGACAGAAGGGGAACTTCAAGCCCAGCCCGGCCGGCAAGCTTTGCGTCACCGTGCCCATCATTCTGGCTGTTATGTACGCCGTCATCCGCGCCATGCTCTACTGCATCTGGCTGAGTGACCACGCCGTCGAGGTGGGAGTGCCGAGCGCCTACTCAACGGCTTTTGTTGGGATGTATCATCTTTGGTGGCGTGGAAAAGCAGACACAGAGCAAGGAAGGACACGTGATTTGAGCTGTGGTCAAAACAACACGTTCCCCGTTCTTCCACATACAATTGTGCCTTTGCCAAAGAAACACTTGCGATTGTCGGGTATTGCAGTAAAGCGTCTCGCGGTGATGCGGACTTGGGGGTCGCGACACGTTTGTGTTGCATGCGACTGGACCGGGCACGTATTGGGCGTGTTGACACTGATTTGTTCGATGCCGTTTGCTGAGCGTTTGGTGCAGGTGCCCAGGTCAATTTAATGGCCCGCTGTTGAGCACATAGCCGGTGACGCTTTTGAACACGTAGCCGGTAACGCGCATCACTCGCAAGCTTGTACGTACAAAATAGGCTCGACGAGCGTGTCTCGCGAGTGGACGAAGACCTAAAGGTGGACCGCCCAAACGTGGCTCCTCACGACGTGTGCAAGCCCACAAAAACAACGGCCACAGCAGTCGCTCGCTTGAACGTCACCGCCTAGCCACGTTTTGCTCGCCCCGTAACCCGTCTCCTGCCTTGGTAAAACGTTGTTGACCCTGCGTGTGATGACGGTGATCCCGCGTCTCGTCGCCTCCGGCCGCCGCTGCTTCGCTTTTCTTGTGTTTTGCCCCCTCGGGCAGGTGTACGGGGAAGAGTCGTACCTTCAGTACTACCCCCTGGTGCTGCACAGCATCGTGCCCCTGGTGGCGTCGACCCTTTACACCTTCCTCGCCAAGGCGCTCAACAACTTCGAGGAGCACCCCACGCTCGTCAGGAAGAAGAACGCTTTCGTCATCAAGGTGTCGCTTTTTTTTGTGTGTCTGTGTTTCTGCGTACAATAGCAGCGGTGCACAAAGCGGCTTGTGTGAATGAATCTCGTTCGCAGCAAGAGCCGCCCCTTTAGAGTCGACACCTGCACCAAAGATCGTAGGACACGTTTTTTTTTTCTCTTATGTCTACCTTGCATGGGGCATGAAACGGCCTGTTCTCTTATTTCTTATTCCTTCCGTCGTTGTCTTTTTTTTTCTGAACTTGGTCGCCATGGTGTCGTTGCTTTTTTTTGGAAAGTAAACATAACCTCATAGAAAGGCTACCCGTCTTTTGTTTCTCCCCCTCCCCTCTGTTTCTCCGCCCCTCCGGTGTTTGCCATCGGGGTTGGGTTTTCGTCGCTTGGCAACGACGTTGTAAAACAAGCCACCCGCCCCTCCCGGTGTTTTGCCATCGGGGTTGGGTTTTCGTCGCTTGGCAACGACGTTGTAAAACAAGCCGCCCCCCCCGGTGTTTGCCATCGGGATTGGGTTTTCGTCGCTTGGCAACGACGTTGTAAAACAAGCCAATTCACTTCGTGAACTCGGCAACCAGGTTACCGTTTTTTTTTTTTTACCTCCCATTTTTT